TGTGTGTGTGTGTGTGTGTGTGTGTGCGTGCGTGCGTTTGTGTTATACAGAGTATGAAATTATTTTAGGCAACTTTTTCATGAGTTTTATGCAAAAGTAAAACCTTGTTAGAGTGTATATTACAGCGTAGACTAAACCTGAGCACTGAGCGCCCCCACCCCTCCCCTCGTGTACCGAGAGCAGCAGAACCTCCTCCTGATAATCATTACGTTTTCAGTTCACAATGTCAGGGAAAACGATCCAAACCATACAAGTAGCCCATCAATTTAAAGCCCAGACTCTGCTCTTTCCAACAATATAAGTGTCACAGCTCTACGTGAAAAATTCACAGAACAAGTAGCCAATGAATAGTGAAAAAGGCTAAATTCTGGAACCATAAACACGAACGTCTTTCCTTTGTTTTATGGCTTTAATCCACTTTGGAGTGATTTTTTTCACTTGGCTGGACCTGTACGTCTCCTGTGTTAATGTTGGTACATGTAATATGCTAATTCTGTACTGTGGAGATCATTAAGAATCGTTGTCAAGTGAAAAAATCTTTTGCTAACACAGTGTTGACTGTGAACCAGAAGACCGGTGCAGGGCCAGAGAATGAGGAAGTGCTAGACCGTAAGTCCGTGGCATAGAGGCAATTCTTCAGAAACTTTGAGGCCTGTTTTCTCCCTAATCTTGTTTGCAAAGTGCCAACATTCAAATGGTCATATCTTTTTCATTTTTTAATTACATGTGTTTGACATCATTGGATAGCTTAGAATTCACACTTTCAGATTCTGTAAATAACTCAAAATGACCCCGAGGAGACTTGTGTCTGGTTTTTGCCGTGGCCACTCACAATTGATATGAAATGTATCTAAACAGTTCCATCTAGCTGCACCCCCTTTAACAATAACCAACTCAAACCGATATGGGGACCCTTGAATATCCAAACTTGAAATAAATCGAATTGCACACCCTTATGCAAGTTGTCTCGCTTGCGCACAAGATATTTAAATCACACAGTTGTGTAAGAAAATTTGTGTTCTTTTACTGAAATTGTGTCTAAACCAATGCATAAACCACATGAATGTTGAATTGATTAAAATGTGAAGAGGATAGACCATACAACCAAACCAGTACTGGTTCTGAACGGCACTTTAACGCTTTCTGGTTGCAGAGTTAGCGCTCACACCAAACCATATGTGACCCATCATGTCGAAACGAGGATTAAGTCAGATTTGGTCAAAATGACCTAATTACATTTTCAGATTCTTGGCTTTAAAAGCTACATTTTGATACCTGGATCATTCTGATATCATAATTAAATCCATATAAATGATCCATCACATTGAAACGAGGATTAAGTCCAAAAATGGTATAAGGAGAAATAGGCAAATATAGTGTTTTGGCTAAAATGTTAACAAAAATTGCATTTTGTCAAAATATAATGAATAAATTCCTTATTAATGTATCATTTGAATGAACTGTCTGAAATATAATCATAAAACAAAAATTTGAAGCACTTTTTTGAGCAGTAGCAACAAAAAAAACTGATTTTATGGAAAAACGCCTTAAAATTGAGAGATTTTCCCTGTGAG